TGTGTCTGACTGTGTCTCTCTGGGTGTCTGACAGGCACAAACTGCAGCGCCAGGGCTCCTCGGAGGAGCAGCTGCTGGAGTGCTCGCGCTGTGAGGAGCAGCTCCTGGACAAGCTGCCCTGCCTGTACCGCACCATCCTGCCTGACAGCTGGAGCGATAGCGCCGCCCTGCTGGCCCGCCTGCGCAGCACCATCCTGGAGGAGCAGGCCAAGATTGTCTGGGTGGAGAAAGACCTGTGCTGACGAGGGGGGGGCTCTGTGCCAGTACACCAGCACAGAGACGCTCCTCCCCCTGCGTTTAGAGGTCACCCTAAATCTGGGGTTCCCGTCCCTCACTCTGGGACCCCGCTAGTAATTATTATTATTATAACATTATTATTATTAATTCTCGTTCAGGTTGAGCTCTTAATTGAAGTAGCTGCTGGATTAATTAACATCTACATTTCATAAGCTCGTAGCCTGTCAGTGTGGGGCTCCCCAAGGCCGCTGTCCCGTTCTGGGGATCTTTTTAAATCCTCAGCATCTCGGGACAGCAGCAGGCCGTGACTCTGATTGTGGCCAGCAGGACCGCACTGTTAAACCAGGGACCACGTGCCTCCAGAGCAGCTTCTGTCCCCCTGCGGTGCTCATCCTCAGCAGCTCACTGCAGGGCCTTCATACACACCTGCACTCTGCACTTTTTACATTGTCTACCATGTTTTTCTCGGTCTCACTACTACATATTTGTTTATTTTTCCACAACATATTTATTGTTCCGGTCGTCTACAGTGTGTGGTGTTGTCTGTTGTACTGTGTGTCCCGAGAGATCAGCGCCATTAAGAACTACAGTGTACGTGTACATATGGCAATAAACTCCTCTACTGGACTCACTGCAGCCATGACTGGACCACTTCAACCTGCTGGAGTATGAGAACCCCAAACACTGTTTTAGCCACCAACAACACATCTTAAAGTTTCCGGCATCTGGAAAAGAGGCAGAAACACTAATCAATCAGAGAATTAAAGTTCGGTTCAAGAGGAGCCCAGAGCTCAGCGAGAAAGGGAACATCCAGCCCAGCATGCTTTGGGTTTGGACCAGAACCGAAGCCTCCTGTTGCTACACCCCTGTAAATAAATCCCTGTGACGGTACAGTATATTACTGGTTTACTGTTATTAAGCCATTTTGTAATGAATGGTCATTTAAATATTTAGAGCTGCGTTCCGCAATTACATTAGCAAGAGCGGAAGCCCTGCGTGGCCAGTCTGCCCCCTGGTGGCCACGGTAGGGACTGCGCCGTGGCGTGGGCGCCACCGGTAGGGCACGCAGCTGTCTCTTACAGGACTTGAAGGACCCGCTGGCTCTTGTACCGGCTGCAGTATGTGGAAACCTGTCGCACCTGCAGACGTGTGCGTGGTTATATATCTGTCAACGTGGGGAGTAAGTTTCTCAAACTGCCCCGTTGAACTCGGTTGTTCCGGAAAGACGAAGGGGGGTCCGTTCTCACAAAGGACATCACGAGGTTTTATAAACTACATGGCGCCTTCTCTTAAATCTGAAAGTGCTGGAAGTTATTCCCCGTCAGCGTC